GGCAACGTTGAGGGCAAAACTCTTCTCCTATATTTCCTCCACTCAGTAACCATGCATCCGGGTCTTACTCCACTCAAGCCTTTTCCAAGATTTTCTCAACTGCAATATTTTCTTCTATATATATATGTGGTAGTTCAATGGATGATGGTCGAAGAATTTTTCCCATAACCAAATTTCTATTTTCCTGCAATTATTCTATTTTCTTGCTTTTGAACCTTTTCTACACGTACTGTAATTTTTATTTCCAACATTAGTTTTAGAGTGTTAATTCTTCATCTAAGAATTAACACAATTATTGATTTCGATTGAGCTGCAAGGAATTTGTAAGCATCCAAGATTACCATAACAACATTATTTCCAGGTTTTTTATGCAATTGATATTTATTTATTCTTGTGTTATGTCATTTATTTTTATGGATTATATTTTAAATTGCATAGTTATTAAATATATTGTGTCCGACTAAATTAATTGTACCGGTATGTGACTCCTAAGTACCGAAAGAATTCAGTGATACCTTGGCTAAAAACATTTATAAACAATTTCTGGTTTCCAATTTCCATGTTTAATTTAACTACCCTTGTCACGAGAGTGAGAGGATAATTAATACGATTTTGCCACGAGAGTGGGAAATTAATTAAGGCAAGAACCTGCATGCGAGAGCTGGGGTTCAACCCAGATAGTGGTAACGAAACATTAATTTTTAAATACATGAGAGTGTTTTAATAAATTAATTAAACTCAAATTGTATTCAAAAAGTGTTATTAAATTTAAAGTGCATCCACTAGGTTTAGTAGCATGACTTATTTCATGAACACGAGAGTGTATGTCTCAGGTTTTTAAACAATTCGTTTTTACCGAAATACTTTATATGCCAAGCGATTCACCGAATTCCCGAAGTCCGACTATCACATACCGGTATAGCTATTACTATTATTTTTAATTAAACTATTTCCCCCTAAAACCAAATATGCATCGCTTAGTTAAACAACTGTAGCATTAGATCGTACGTGATTGATCCTCGGTCTCTGTGGGTTCGATAATCATTTAAAACTAGAACGACTAAACTGTATACTTGCAGTTAGTATCCCAATAGACTTATAAAGTCCCGATCAGGTCTCAAAAGTGGAAATGGAAATTTGTCTAAGCCACTGAAAGTGATGGTAGTTGATATTGCTGAAGAGCTCGAGGGTAATCAGAGCGACAAGGAAAATGGATTGTGAAACTATGAATAAGGAATTGTCTGAAGAAACAGTTGTTAAATTGATGAAGGTTGTGTTTCCTAAACTTGAGGAGGAATTGGTGGATTTTCTGAATAGATGTAAGTTAAGTAATTCTAGGTCTATGTTATGCCCAAATTGTAATATGGTCTATGACGAAAATGATGCAAAGAAAATTGAGGTGTTGAAGAAGAAACGCCCTCAAGAGAAAAATCTAAAGGTGGTTTTCGACCATGTGAAGGGGCCATACAAAGTCCAAGTTCCTCAAGGAAAACCCGAGTTTCCGTATCAAAGGACCTTTGTGCCACCAAATGATGCTACTAACAATAATTGGGTCTGTCCTTTCTATCCAAGGGGGGTAAACCAAAATCGGAAGGTAGTGAAGAAAGGTTCAGGTTCGAGTTATATGTGGGAAATGATGGAGAAGGGATCAAGTTCTTCTCAATTTGGTGAAGTTGGGATCACCTCAAAGAGGTATCATGTTCCTCCCACATACAAAGGGAAAAATCCTATGACGAAGACTCAGTGGAGAAGGCTTCAAAGAAACAAATTTTTTGCAAGAGAAGCGACATCAAAAGTTGCTCCATCAAAAGATGAGAGCAGTCAGAAGGAAATGCACCGTTGGCAAGCAAAACAAAGGTTATTGATGCCGGTTGTGAGTTTGCCGCCAGAAAAAGCTGAAGATCCTGATGACAACATGGAAGATGAATTATCTGATAACTTTGAAGATAGCTCAAAAGATGACTTGATTATTCACTGTAATATTGTGTCAGTCCTGCCTAATGAGTATAGTTTTATGTCAGAAGCATCTGAGAATGAAGAAGAACCCATGTGCGAAGAATTTGTGGGCCAAAAACCTTTATGCTACTATGTCATGAATAATGAGGTAGTGGAAGAACAACAAGCAATGTTTGAGATACCTACATCTTATATGATGTACCATCTCAAGCCTTTGTTTATAAGGGATAAAGTTGATGGTTTCCCTGTGAACAAAGTGTTCGTTGATGGTGGCGTTGTTGTGAACTTCATGCCACAATCATTGTTGAAAAGGATTAGCAAGTTCGACACTAACCTCAAACCACATAATATGGTTTTTTCGAACTATAAAGGAAAAACAAGTCACATATTGGGTGTGATTCAAGTGAATTTGTCAGTTGGATCGACTTCAAGGCCAACATTGTTTATGGTGATTGCGTCTAAAGCAAACTATAATTTGTTGCTAAGGTGTGAGTGGATACATGACATTGGGGCAATACCATCAACCCTGCATCAATGCTTATCCATATTGCATCAAGATGGGATTGTGGGGAATATTGAGACAGACCACAATTATTTCACTACTGATGTGAATATGGTCAATAGGAAGAATTTTGACAAAGCATTAGCTACCATACCTTCGCGCGATCTTGAAGATGCAGTGTTCAAGTCGCATCCTGATGCAATCAAGTTTCTAACCTTACACCCCACTCATGGTTTCATTAGGGACCAAGAAAAATTGGATACATATCCAACTACAAAAGGGGAGTTTGAACCCACGTGATGGGAAGAGAAAACTCATGATGATGCCTGAGTCGAATGCTCTGGAAAGGATTTTGGCCTATATTGTCGAAAACAGGATAAATTCGGCCTTAGAGGCTGGAAATGTTTCAAATATGGCGCCTGAAGTCATTATGATGGAAAAGCTTGGAGAACCAAGCCAAATAACAGCTTCAGAAAGCCAGAGGCTTAACTGCATATATGAAGAAGAACCTTTGGGAGAGAAAGACCCAAGAGATAATATTTTGAAGATGCAAGCACAAGATCCATTGGAGGAAGTCGACCTAAGTGATGGCACGATTAAGCGAATTACATACATTAGTACCAAGATTGACAACAAGATGAAGAATCAAGTAATTGAATTGCTTAAAGAATTTAAAGATGGCTTTGCATGAGATTTCAACGAGGCGCCTGGTTTGAGCAGGAAGATGGTAGAAATTAGACTACCCATAAATCCAGGCAAGCGACCAGTCAAGCAAATGCCAATGAGGTTCACACCAAAAGTGGTGTCCAAGATAAAAATAGAGATCGAACAGTTGTTAAAGAGCAAATTCATCAGGACAGCCAAGAGATTTTCTAGGTTTTGTGGTACACAAGAAGGGTATTTATACCATCAAGAAAACCAAATGTTTAGGAAGAAAGTGGAAAAGATGTGGCTACACGACCAACACTTGTCAAGCAGGTGGCGATTAACTGAAGAAGTTGTTGAGTTAGGGGCTATGTTTATCCTAGGAAGTTGAAGCTAAAAAGTAGGGTAGTGGTCGTTTGTTTGCAGACGCGGCGTTTGAGAGAAAAGTCATGATTACGATGACGTCAGTTTATACTAAGTAAGAAGGACTATAATTTCCATTTCTACCATTTCCAGTCGATAAGGACATTTTGGGGGGAGGGGGCAATTTGTTGGCTGGGATTTTTGACAAGGACCAAAATCCAACAAAAAGAAAATGATCAAAAAGGTTCTTTAGAAAATGTGATTTATGTGATTCGACTACTCATGCAGTCGACCTACAGAGATTCTATAAGTAAGTGATTGAGCCTGAAAACAGAAACAGTCGACCAAGGAAGACCTCATAAGTCATTAGACCTAGAAACGCCAAAAGGCCCAAAAGATCCATCAAGCGAGCGAAGTGTTTTGGAGGGAAACTTGGAGAACATGGGTTCGAGAGTACGAATGGAGAACGTGGGATCATGGAGAGGAGTTACAAGATACACGTGGCGTACAAAGAAGCGAGGTCCGATAGAAAGTAGTTATTTTTTGTGTATTATAAATAAAGCACTTGGTGCATAATGTTAAGAGTTCAAACTTTCACATTCCTATACGCTAGTCACTCAGAGTATCCAAACAAACGAGCGAAATGAGTCAAGCTAGGGCAATGTATGTTTGAATCAACTTATTTTCAACTATTTTGATGTCATGTCAGTTATGTTTATAGTTTAAAACGCTTTTCGTTTTATTTTACAAATCTTACTTTATTGCTTATACACTCGTTTGACACCAGTCGAACGAATCCTTTTTTATCACACTTTGTGAAAACACTCAAAAACTGAAGTACTGTACTGAGATTCTCTGATCGATCTCGCAAGTAAATTTTTGTTAAAAGACCAGCGTTGTTTACTGAAACTAGAGATAAACACCGCAAAATCGAACACCACATATCTAACACTGTCGAAAATGCTATAGTCATCGTCTCTCCATTTTCGTGTTGCTCATGATTTACATAGTAAAGAAGAAAAATAGTTGATTTACAAAAAAAAGAAGATAAAAAACAGAAGAGAGAATAGAAAGAAAAGAAACAATAATCCAGCGAAAAAATAAAGAGAAGAGAAAAAAAAAAATAGACAATAAAGATGAAGTTGGAGATGAATGAAAAGGAACACAAAAATTGAATTTTTAGAAGTAAAAAATATTGATATGAAATGTTATAATTAAGAAAAAATAGTTAGACAGTGTTATTTACATTAAAAATTGTAATTTATATAATAAAATAATATTAAAAACTTAAAATGAATCAATATCATTAAAGTAGTATGAGAATTGAATAAGCAAAAGAAAAGATTTACCGAAGAAGAAAAATTGAAGATGTTTAGTTTTTTCAAAAACTCCAAATTTTCTTATACAATAGATTTTACCTATTATCCAATAGATAAGGCAGCAGTTTGCATTTTGCACCCAGAATCCCACGTGAACCACACATCGCCGTGGAGGCGCGGTCATCCCTTGCCGTGAATTCTGCCACTTTGCAGAAATGGCGCTAGCAGCACTCTCTCTATGCCATTGCTCTTCTTCTATAACAACCTTTCTTCCTTCAAATTCCCGTCAACCCTCAACCTTTTCCCCTCATCTTCAAACTCAACCCTTCATCTCCCCACTCACCAAATCACAACCACCAAACAGCAGCTCTTTCCTTTTCCAATTTCGTCCCTCCATCCACTGCCGCTGCACTTCCAACAAGTCCAATGTCGGCTTCCAATTCGGTAAATAAACTTCTCTCACACATTTTGTCAAACACCTTATAAGCAATCTGTTACTATTATTTTTTTGCTTCATTTGCAGTGTCACTCGTCTCTTTGTTTCAAGAAATCGGTATCAGCTTTAAGGAAACCAAATCGCTCTTGAGCAATGCTTCCGAACTTAGCTCGATACAACTAGATTCATTGCATGGTCGCATTCTTTATTTACAGTCTCTCGGGTTAGATCATATGTCCATCAATCAGTTAGTTACAAAGCAATTAGATGTGCTAACTTCTAATGAAATTGACCCTTTGTTAAGCTTTTTGAAAAATGAATTGCAAGGACAGCTTAAGCAAGCTACGGTGAAACTTCTTTTATCAAAAAAGTTATCCGATTTTCCTCACAAGGTTCAATTGCTTCTTGACCGTGGAATTGCGGTTGACAAGATTGAACATGTGCTTAACAAAGTGGATTTGTCAAAGGCAATTTGTCATAGGTCGATGGAAGAAATTGAAAGAGTAATTAGTTTCTTAAAACCCTTTGGTGGTGTTGATTTGATTGTGAAGCACCCTGCAATTCTCAACCATGATTTTGATTGTAAGCTGAAACCGAGAATCAGGGTTTTTACTGAGTTAAGTGGCGGGGACGAGGATAGTGTTGGGAAAGTGCTGAATAAGTTTCCTGTTATCTTGAATCTTAGGGTGGAACATGTTGAGACACATATAGAGTTCTTGAGGTCTTTTGCAGAACTTGATGATCAACAAATATTTAAGATAGTGTTGGTGTTTCCAGCAATCTTGAGTTGTAGTAGAGAGAGGAAACTGCGTCCTAGAATACAATTTCTCAAGGATTGTGGGTTAGATTCGGGCGAAATCTTTAAGTTCTTGATCAATGCACCGGTGTTTTTGGCCATTTCGTTCCGCGACAACCTTGCGAATAGGCTTGTGTTTTTGGTCAAGATTGGGTATGAATATAGGACAAAAGAGTTGCCAGTGGCGATCGCGATTAGTTCTAGAATGAGCTGTAAGAATATGCAGAAGACGGTGAGTGTATTATTGAATTACGGGTTCTCACCCGAAGAAACTTTTGCTATGACTACAAAGAAACCACGGATACTGCAGTATAATCACGCCTCTCTAGAGAAGAAGATGAAGTATTTGACAGAGGAGATGAATCGTGACATTAAGGAGTTGCTGAATTTTCCTGCATTTCTTGGATACAATTTAGATGAAAGAATTAAGCATAGGTATGAAATAAAGAAGGGTTCAAGGGAGGGACAAATGTCTCTCAGTCAGCTTTTATATGTTTCAACTGAGAAATTCCAAAAAAGGCTTCTGAAAAATCCAAATTGAAATAAAGGGGAACAAATGAATTTATTTTCCTTTTCCTTTTACATTAATTTTGCTGCCCTTAGTTATTTTGCTGTATTCCTTATGATTGCTTTTAATCCCGAAATAAGTTTACGAAAAAGAGTTTATTTTGTTGATAAATGAATAAAAAATGAAGTGACATCAAGACAATAGTGTGTTTTAGAAGTAGCCTATTTCTACGGTAAAATTAGCTACTAATATTTCCTGTTTTGCTGTGGATATACCAACCAATCCATACATGACCAAATAAACATTTTTTGTAACCACTATATAAGCATTTTGATTAAGAAATTATAAGAGTTTGAGCAATTTTCTCCCTTAAAATTCTCCAACGATAATTTAATCTTTTAAATAAGAGAATAATTTAATCTCTAAATTCCTTTGTCCAAATGTTGGTTCCACCGTGAATTTCAGAAGCAACAAAATTAAAAGTTTGTTTGGTTTTAAGGGAAAGAAAATTGTTTTTAGATGAATTCATTCTATAAAAATTGATTTTGAATGACTAACATTGAGATGAATAGTTAACTATTTATGTTTAGATAAGGTTTTGAAAAAGTGAGTTCAACGCTAAATTTTCTGTTTAGACTCAATTATTAAAAATATAATTATTTATACTCAAAAACAGTCAAATATGTTAAAATTAATTTTCACATTCTAAATCAATTTTGGACGTTGCAAACGATGACACCAAATAGATGTTTAAACTTTATGCTTTGAAGTGATTTTTTCATTGTGATTTTAGT